ACTTCTCATTTTCCCCCCGTTCTCCTCTGTTCTCACACACACACACACACACACACACATACATCACACACTCCTGAGTCTCCTGTGGCTCCAAAAATAAAAAAGGGAAATGCTTACTGAGTGATATCATATGCTGGAAAAGAAATGAAGAAAAAAATTGATTTTCAACAAAGACTCCACAGACTTCCACGTATTTCTTTTCTCACAGTGTTTCCTGGGCCATAAAGTTGAAACTACAACTTTTCACCTATTTTCAGTGTCTTCAATCAGCGGTCCCGAACCTTTTTTTAGCGCTTAATGATAGAACCAACATAAAAACTTCTAAATATAAACGATATAAATATATAATAAACGTTACATCACTATGTATGCAACTTATTAGCAGCGTCCTCATAGCATCGCATTTTTCTTATAATGGACCCTTAAATCCTGATATTTGTTTGATTCCCGTCTCACGTTTCTAACTCAGCTCAAAGACCTTTCTTCCTCCACAAAAGCTCATTTAAATCCTAAATGTTCTTTTTACTCACAAATCGTTCAGTGTTTTTATTTATCTGTGCTCTGTGAGCTCCCTTACAGCAGTCGCTGCTTATATCATGCATCCAAACACAGCTGGAGGGAAGTGACACAAAGGCCGGGTCTTCCTACTCAGTTCATGAATGTGTAAAGTCCTGTGCTGCTCTGAGCCTGAGGGGGAGATTCCTCAGCAGCAGCAGCAGCAGCAGCAGCAGCACAGCAGTGTGCATCACTCCACCCTGTGTCTGATCAACATAAGAAATGGGTCAGAGTGGTGGGGGTGCAGGAGCGGGTAAAGGGAGGAGATGGGGGTGGGCTTTGTCACGGAAATAGCATTCCCTGTGCAAAGGAGCATGGCAAATGTTTTACAGTAGGACGACTGTGGGGAGAGCAGGAGAAATGATGGAGAAGAGGGGAAGGGAGGGGGAGGAAGCAAGGAGGCGGACTCAGCTCTGTGGGGTCATCTGGTTCATCAGCTGGGCTTCTCTGTTGAAATGGAACCTGTTAGAGATTGGAAGTGGAGTCCATCCATCCATCCATCCATTCATCCATCCATCATTCCTCCATTTGTCCATCCATCCATCCATCCGTCCATCATTCCTGAGCTTCCCAGGATGTTAAACATGTATCACTTTTCCCACTGTACTTAGTTTGTACAGTGAGTCTGTTCCTGTGAAGTGATGATTGTTGCAGATTTTAATGGTCCGTTTGTTTGTTTGTTTGTTTTTTTTTTATCTAAATAAACCAGTTTCCATGGTTCCTCCATATTCTGGTCATTACCGGTGCCTGTGTCCAGAGCTGCTGCTGCTGCCGTTACCTTGACCACAGGTCTGGTTCTCAGGCTGATTCAGAGTCATGATGAATGGAGCAGCTGAGAACAGAAAGGAGCCCAATGACACGTTGTTATTATTATTCTGACCGATCGACCCCTGTGGAGGTGACAATTACTGTGCCGTCAATTCTCAGCCAATCAGGGCAGGTCTAAACACAGCTTGCCTATTTGGTGCACGGAGCCACTGAGATAATCATCTGCCAATCACTGACAGGAAACCTGAATGGAAGCACGGGAGCATTCAAGGCTTGTTTGCTGTTTGCTATTTTAAATCAATCAACTCAGTGTGTGAGGAAGTGCAGAGAAGACCAGGTCAAAGGTCGGCCATGTTTTTACTGGAAAAATAATCATTAATGAAATTTAAAAAAAGGAAGAAGATGCCCTGAGGTCAAAGGTCACAACCACACCTCTATTACAGTTCAATTGCTCTGTGCATTAGATTTTTTGAATCAGTTCCCAGTGCCAGTGGTGGAGCCAAAGCTCTACTACAGTTATATAGAAGGCCCAATGAAGAATGATTATCTTTACATTTGGTTCAACAATCGCGTCCACCTGGAGGTGCAACAACCTGGTGAGAGAATTGAGAGCGAATGATATTAAAGCTGAGTGTGCACGTGAAGAGATGGCGCTGTCGTGTTCCCGTCAAAACACTCGTCATCTAAAACAAAACAATTATTTTTCAGTCGTTCTAAATGTGAATTTGATGCTTTGTTTTAAAAAAAAGTCTCCATAATGAACAAATACATACACACACACACACACTCAATTAAAGCATCAATACAGATTAAACTGGTGATGAGGACACTGAGAGGATGTTCATTCATAATACATTCTCCAGGCTTGGCCTTTGAAAAACAAACCCAGTGCCCTCCCTTCTCCTCCATCATCTTCCCCCTCCTCCCCCGCTGGCATGGAGGGGAAAACCCACAGCCGGCTCTAAATGTTCATACTGACTGGAGGAGAAAATCTAACTATTAATAAGTCAGCACTTCTGACACACACTGGCTGGTGAAACACACCAGCGTATGTTTAACCAGACAAAGCAGTGCTGTCTGAAGGCAGCAGCTGCTGAGGTTCACCTGAAGAACCTCGGCTCTAATGACAGACGTTAAAGTCAGTTCACGATGAACTGAACAAAATCACAGAGCCATAAAAAAGAACAGGTGAGGAACATATACAGCGTTAGCCAATCGCACGTAAAAAGGACCAAATGTTTGCTGGTTCAAAGCCCTGCTCTCAAAAACTTTGCGGGATTCGTTAATTGTTTGGTGAAAAGAAATCAACTAAAGGTGTGAATGTTAGTGTGAATGGAGAAAAGAACTGTCCAGAGGTGTTCAGGATCACTTCAGACCTCCTGAGGCCCGGGTTAATCATGATGAACACACATTCTTAAATAGGACATAAACAATTGTTTTCTGAATATTGCACACAAAGACCAACAACAGCAGGTAGAGGTCAGTGTTTCTCACCTGTTTTAATTTATGACTAATCCAAATGATGGGATTATTAATCTGGAACGTGTCCATTACAATCTCTTGCTAATTTTGTTCGAAGAGAAGTGGGAGAGAGATGTGATTTCTAACACATTTCTGAGTGAAAATATCATTTGATATTTGGTGTGAAGAACCTATTACTCACTGACGGAGAAAAAAATAAACTCTTTTCAGAACAGTGAATGTGTCGACATTGAACGTTGACACTCGGATGTCTTTCTTTAAAGACAGAACTCCACCGTCATCATAGTGTCAAGTAATGAAGGCGATGTTACAGTGATAATAATATATGTCTTTATCATATCATATTCCACTAGAACAGGTCAAATCAGTTCAATCATAACATAATTACTAGGTAATAGTAACAGCTGTAAGAATCGTTATCGGTTTTTCCTCCGATAATGAAAACCCGATAACGCAATGTCTGGGTTTGGCCAAATGATGTGTGCTCTAAAAATAGTTTTGGGGATAAACAACTGTATAGCATTAGATACCTCTTTATATCCAGTGAAATTTAAATAATTTTACACAACATTTCCTGAACATGGGGTGTTTATGTATTATTTTATTTTCAAAATTCATCAAGCGGTCCGAATTAAAACCCTAAGTGGGATGTTTTTGGCCTGCGGGCCATACATTTGACACCCCTGCACTAGAAGCACGCAGGAGAGGTGCGGGGGAGGGGCATCTGTCAGTGAATGTTTGAGCGGTGTTTAAAGCCACGCTCTGGTTGTGTTTGAGGCTAAAAGCACTTGTCAGCTCTTTTCCTCGGTGCTGAGACTCTTTCTTAATAACATGGTTTACGGGGCCAGTCTCTGGGCCGGCGCTGGATGTTTCCATTTTAAACTTATCATTAGAGCCTGCCTGCTCCACATTTACTATCTTACAGCAAAGCATGTGTTTAAACATCAGTGTTTCCAGCAGGAACACATGACATGAGGCTGCACTTCAGCACGGGGGAAGAAGTGGGAGAGGAGGTGAGGAGGAGCAGGGCAGTTTCTGCTTCGTAATGTCAAACGCAGAGTTTGATTTTAACACATGCGGCAGATTTCAGCGAATGGGAAACCATGGCGACGCCCGACCCGATTTTGATGGACAGGGTTTTGAAGCTCTGTGGGTTTCTGGAGAGCATTGAAACAATCGTGAGGAAATCTTTCTTCTTGGGGAGTTAATTATTTATTGTTCTGTGTTTGATGAGTTAATGTTCAAACAACAAACAACAAAGTCAAGAAATTCCACCTCCTGATGGAGGAAGTTGTCAATCAGTCACTGCTGTGAGTCCTGAGTGGAAATCATTGATTTTCTTTGTCATAAAAAAAAACACGTCAAATGTTTTGAAGAAACGTTTCACTGTTTCCTCGTGGAGTCTTGAACACAGCTGGATTATCAGTGCAGCCTAATTACTGAGTGTCGGCAGTTGGACTTTTCTACCACTAATTAGGTGAGTGTGACCTTTTCTCACACAGCCTGAAAAACAGACCAGAATCTGGCTGACTTTGAACCGTTCAAAAAGAGAGAAACATCACAGGTGATGGCCCGCAACTGGGTTAGGAGCCTTAGTTTAACCGGGATTTCACCAATTTCTTCCAATCACAACACTGTGACTTCTGACATGATGAGGTTAAACCAGTGACTCCCAAACTTTCTTGAGCCACGGCACACCACCACAAAATATATGTAATAAAATATAATAATATTCTAGTTTAAACTGACTCCTGTTTAGTTGAAGGCGATGCTGATATACAGGCAGGAATTGAAGAAAGACACTCACAAAGTTCTTCTTCAACAGCTCGTTAAGTTTTAGTTTTAATAGCCATCTCCTGCCACCTAGCGGAAGAGGACCTAATTGCTCTTCCGGTCACCCATTGACGAACAAAGAAAAATTATTTGCAATAAATAAATAATAGTTTCAGACGTCACAGTGGTTGGGAATCAGTGGGTTAAAAGCAGACTTTGTCGATTTGACTCGGTCAGATTTGAACAAAGAACCAACACAAGAACCGAAGAACATGGAGAACACAGACCACGTGAATGTAGATTTTTTTTTATTGGACTTATATAGAAATACTTAAAAAAAAGATGAAGTAGCACCATTACTTAAGTCTTACTTTTTATCATGTATAACTTTAAATGTCAGAAAAATAAAACTCTTGATACATTTTTTTTTTCAAATCTTGTCTCAGCAAATATAATATTAGTATTCGACCGTGAGGTTAAAGGCCCTTATCATAAAATAAAATATACTTTGTTCTTAAACTTTGCTCAATAAAGTACATTTACGCTCAAAGAACTTCACCTACATATACATAAACAAGTGGTAAACAAATGTATTAAAATAGAAATACTAAAACTATAGTGGTGCAACAGAAGCCTGTAATTCCCACTGGAATCTAATTCATACAAATTTTTAGAAAGCATTAACAATTTCTTTGTGGTCAACTTACTAAGTTTTGTACAATTCAATGTCCCATAATAATATAGAATAAAATATGCTTTATATTACTGAATAAAAAATATGCTGGGGAAAGGAGATTCAAAAGAGATTTTTTTTTTTTGCTGAACCTATAAAAAAACTCCATCCCAACATAATACTGTCAAATGCAATACACTTATCGTGGACCCCCGGCCCCCTCCAAATCACCCCCCTCCCACACATACACACAGTCATGTGATATTAAAATAATACAGTGATCAATGCCAGAAGGCCTTACTAAAAAATAAACAATATTTCAACCCAGCTACAAAAAAGTTCACTGAACTTAAATTAAAATATCTGTAAACATCTTTGCAATAAGAAATATAATCTTTCAAGTCGAAAAAAGAATAAAATACTTCAATCTGTATTAATGTCATTTAAAACGTCCAACTTATGCAAATGTATTATATACATATATATGTAGGATATGCTGTTACTGTCCCGAGTGTTGTTTCCGACCTGGGGCTGCAGTATCTTCGTCAGACTGGAAAACTCTCCCACGTCTCCACCCTACAGTTGGTGGGCGGAGCCTGGAGGCTTTAGGCTACATCCACACAGACCCGTGGTCTCAGCTCTACACTCAACACTGAAGCCAACGTTGGATAAAGCTGATTGTTTTGGTTGAAATGTGTGAAAAATTGTTGTTCAAAGAGAGCAGCACAGCTCCTGATGGGATTTTTTCAAAATAAAAGCATGCAACTGAGAACATTCAGTGTCTCTCTTTTTATATCACTTCACTAATTAAAGTAATTTGGAGCCATCGTTTAATTTGAGAATTAATATAAACTTGTTTGAAAGTCAGTACAAGGAAGGACTTTTTCTTCGTGTTCTGTTTGCTATCCGACTTCAAACTAAGGCTACGTTCACATCGCAGGTCCCGCTGCTCAATTTCCATTGATTTTTTTTGTAAAAAGCTTTTGTGAAATCAATGTCTGTCTCTGACTTCACTGACGTAAAAGTCGGATGAAATGCGACAAGACCGTTCAGACTGACGTCACTTTGAACAACAACAAATAGCAGTAGGAGTTAGCCTGGGAGCACATACGTATAAAAGCTGCCTGGGTCCGGTTCGGAAGTATCCGATCTGTGCTGACACTGATTTGGGACACAGGGTTAATACAATATTGGACTCGGTCAATTGTTGACCTGCAGTGTGAACGTAAGCGCGGGGACCGGTGCTGGTACGTAGGCCATTTGGTACCGGACCACAGTTTTACTTCATTCCAAAATAATCCGGTCTTTCAGCTCATGCAGACTCTGATACTGACAGAATAAAGTCTGAAAGATGTTTTGTTTTGAAAATTTAAGGATCCTTCAACAATGGTGCGGTATTACCGGTCCACAGCAGTGGCTGATACCAGCTGACCGGACCTTGGTAAAAAAAAAAGGTTGGGGACCTTGTTGCTGTAAAAAATGAACTAATAGGTAATTTATCTTATTATTTAGTGAACTTTGGTGTCTAGAATTAAATCTTATCACCTGGACTTTCAGATTTAATTTTTTACATTCCTAACAAGATGCTATCTGGATGTAGCCTCAGTCCACTAACAGCCTGCCGTCTGTCCTGCCCTCCGCCCTCCTGAACTTCTTTCCTCATAAATACAGGGTACGATTTACTAGAACTATTGATTACTATGCTGTAATATTCAAAAACATGCACTTAGATGTTGAAAATATTTCAAAGCTACGGTATATTTTTAACAACTATGCTCCATAAAGAGTGTCTGCCCCTTGTCCGTGATACTGCAGCCTCTTACATACATATGTATATCTATGTACACGTTTCAAATGACCACTAGGTAATCCCGTTCTGTCGGTACGGGTCGTCTGGTGTTCCTAATGTCGCCAGTCCAGCTGAGGAGCCAGTCAAGAGTTCTTATGAAAATATACGTATGGCCTGAGTGACACCAGTGTGGCAGACCGGGCATTTAGGCTCGCTCCTCTCACAGATGCGATTGGCACACTCCATACAGAAGAGGTTGTGCCCACAGGGTACCAGCGCTGCGATGACCTCGCTCTCGAAGCACACGGAGCAGTCACGACTGCCCTTCCGGCTCGTGCCCGATGAGGTGGAGGAGGACGAAGAAGAGGAGGAGGACGACGAGGTGGAGTCGCACGGAATGCCTGCTAGGTGAGAGCCCGAGAGGGAGACGATGCTAGTGGAGTAACCAGGGAAACTGAGCGCTCCGCCACCTGGATCACTACGCACCCTCCGTGCCAACTGGTGCTCAGCAGTTCCTACGTTGTGGTTCAGGAGCGGAGGCGACATTCTGGGCTGCGGGGTACATCCATTCACTCTCCTCTGATTCAACACTACGCCATTGGTGTTGGTGGAGGTATTGGTGGAAAACATGGCTGAGGTGGAAGTGGGAGAGCTGCCTCCGTTGGAGGAGGGCGTCACGCGGCTTTCACCCTGAGACCACAGGAAGCCCGGTGGGGCCTGTGTAGCGTCAAATCCTGGCGAAGGGTCAAAGGTCACATCAGTGCAGTCGGCTGAGATCAACTCACTCCCATAAACGAAACCATTTCCGTTGGTGTTGACGTTGAGGTTGTTGTTATTGTTGTTGCCGTTGTTGTTGCTGGTGGTGTAGCTGAGTGCGGGGCTGGGGGGGCTGTAGTCAGCCATCCGAGTGCTGTTGTTACCAAAATAGGAGTCTGTGGAGGCACTGCCCAGGGAGGAGGACGAATCGTTGCGGTAGTTGGAGAAAGGTTTACGTACCGATGTGAGGGTCATCCCGGTACCGGCCTTGGACCACAAAGAGGTTGACCCGTGGAGGTCAAATCCAACATCAGTGCCATTGGCGTGGAAGTCATTTTCATCCTGGAGTTCAATAAGGCCCCCGGTCCTCATGGCTATGTGGGCTTCGATCTCCTCGCGTGCTCTGTCCACGTTCTCTGGCATCCCCGTCACCTCAAACACCGGCTCTTTGTCCCGACTGGGGGTGACGATGTACGTGTGGGTTTGCTGCTGGATACGCTTGATCGTTGCACCCTTGGGGCCTACGACCAACCCCACTACTCGATAAGGCACCCGCACTTGTATGGTGGTCTGTCCGGGAAGGTTAGGGGGTCCCGGGATGGGCGTGCCGCTTCCATTCAGGCTGGTGTTTTTATTTCTTGAGGCTCGGATCATGGAGAAGTGCTCGGCAGCGGAGATGATCTCCCTCCTGGCCATGGCCACATCCTCCCTCCGTCCAGTCACCACAAACACAGGCTCTTCTCCTCGAACAGGAGTTTTGATGTAGGTGTTGGTCTTTGCTCGTAGCGCTTTGATCTTGCAACCTAAAGCACAGAACCAAAACACTGAGGTGAGAAAAATGGTGCCGACATAATTTGAGCACTTCAGCTTCAACCTCTGGACAGTTCAGTACAGCTGCCGTGTGTTTATTATTGTTTCACAAAGGAGCGATGGCCGCAGAAATTAGGCCACGCCCTGTCTTTTTTGGAGAAGAGAAAATTGAAACCACATGCTGCACCACCTAAAACACACGGGACAAAAATAAATCACTCCCAGATCTGAGAGGAAACCTGTTCATTTACTACAGAACGGTCCACATCTGCAGGAGCTGCAGCAGCGTTCTCAATTTACAACCAACAGCTTCACCAAACAGGAAGTGAGCTACTTGATCACCCTGCAGCTTGACATCTCACACCACTTAAGTTGCACAAACGCATGTCTTTTTATTATCACAGTGATATCGACTGAGGTCACGGCGCCACCGTCTTGACACGAGCGGCGAGACGCAGCCACAAAGGCCAGGAGTTAGTGATGCAGCGGTGCATAAAAATAGACTTTTTAGGGGGTGGTCTATAGAACACCCTCACTATATTAAAAAGACCTTTAACCCTTGTTTATTAGCTCAAGATGTTATTATGAAAAAAACTCAATATTATAAAATATAAAATACAATATACTACCAAACCTGGCCATGTGTTTTAAAAGGATGAATATAAACAAGGCTCATCATCATCATCATCATCCTCATTTTAATGATTTTTGTAAGACATAAATGTGTTGATGCTTTAATCTAAAGAGTTTTAATGTAGTTTTTTTTTTAAATAAATCAAATCAGACTAAGCCCCGCCCTGTGATGGGTTCATAACAGTGTTGTTAGAACTGCAGCCAGTGAAGGAGGCTCGGTCTGGGTCACTCTGTGAGACCAGGACCAGTGTCCTGAGTTGATACAGAAC